GGATAATAAATTTACAAGCCGTAAAACTCTTCAAAAACGTAGAGCTAGAGAGAATGAAACACAAAATGAACGTGAAACACATCTTGTAAGGAACCGTGAATATAAGCAGCAAAAAAGAGAGAAGGAGAATGCTGAAGAAAATGAGGCGCGTCTTGTACGTGACAGAGAATGAAAATAACGTGAAAAATGTGTAAATGATTTTCAGGAACGAAGGACCTATTTGAATAACTTAAATCAAAATTTGAATTCACAACAGCGACAACTGCAGCAAAAAACTGGTCAAAGCAATTGTGGCGTAAATATACGTGACAAGCCATCTCCTGCTGATGAACTAAGTGAATTTGAACAAAATTTTTTAAAGAAATTTTGCGATAAAGTTGATAAATTCAAATATGTTCTTTGTCCTATATGCAATGAAAGCTTCCCATCCATAACACTTGTGAAAAGTGAATGCCGACATTGTCATACTGAGAAGGTCTCTCCAAAAAAATTCTCAGCAGGGAACAATATGGACCCAGGTGAAGTTCCTGATGAACTTTGAGACCTTATAGAAATTGAAAAGATGTTAATTGTGTGAGTTTTTCCTGTGATGTCAGTTTACAGACTTCGCAGAGAACAACACAGATATCATGAAAACGTAATCAACTTTCCTCAAGATGTCCAAGAACTTGCTACAAAACTTCCTTGATATCCATTAATATTAGAGGTGCTTGTAATACGTCATCACGCAACTAACTCAGAAGCATTCAGGGATTTTAGAGTTCGCTGTACTAAGGTAGTTCATGCATTAAATTAGTTGAAGGAGAACAATCATTACTACGCTGATATAATTATCGATCATGAAGTTCTTCGATTCTTATCAGTTGATAGTTCAGTTGATGATCAGCTTCAAGGTACTCAAATGAATGCTGGAGAATTGAATTGTAAAAATGAAGATGAAGTGATTACACGCACCTTTGTTTCACTTCCTCCTTTGGCTCATCGCGAAGATGTTGTTATCAAAAATGCCCTTGGTCGTATTCAGAATGGAGACCAACCTATTACATAGCCACAGATCAGTAACAATCTAGTTAATGAATTTCGGACACCAGGGTATATTGTATGTGCATTTTCAACTTTATATCCAACTGGAAGTGCGGTAACATGTGTTTGGAAAATTAATCCTGCTGAATACTTTAAGCACCTGCTTTTGTATTAGCAGAACAGAACTTAACAGGTTTTCTGATGCTATGTATATACTAACAAAATAGTCTGAAGTTAATATAGTAAATATGGACCAGCTTAGATCTTTAAACATTCCTGTTGCTAAAATTTAAGCTATACATACAGGTGGTAATGAAGCAAAAAAGCCAATTCCGACACAGCACACAATCTTCAAGCATAACTATTGCTGGCAAGAGGAGCACACATCATGTTAACAGTAAACCTGTAGACGGAAGCTAAACTAGTTAATGGTTCTATGGGAATTGTTCAAGACATGATATTCAGAGAAGACCAAGGACCACCTTCTCTTCTTATAGCAGTTCTGATCTCTTTTGATAATTATAACGGCCGCACCATTACTAGTATAGAGGGTAAAAATGTTATACTAATTACACCAATTCATCGTATATGAGATGGCAGATCCGGAGTTTGTTCACGCTTACAAATTCCTATTCAGCTTGTGTGGGCAATTACAGTACACAAAAGTCAAGGTCTTACATTAGAAAAAGTCATAATAGATCTCGGTAAAAAAGAATTTGCTGCTGGTCTTTTATTTGTAGCAGTATCTCGAGTACATACCCTTGAAGAATTTCTCTTCAAACCATTTAACTTCGAGAGATTTCAGTGTATTAAAGAAGCAAAAGGTTACAAGAGAGATTAGATGAAGAAAAACGTCTGATTTCAATGATTTCAGAAAATCGAATAAATATTTTGTAAATATATAGCATTTTTTACTAATAAACTTAATCTATAACCTAATCTTCTCATCACACTAGCTTGTCATACAAAATACAAATTTGATTATTATCAATATTACACAATCATTTTTATTATGTATTGTTTATTTATCAATAATTTTTAGTGACGTAACGCGTGAAGACATCTGGAAATCACACGTAATCACAATCATCACTAATGCTCATAAAAATTATATAGTCCTTCACTTCGCTCCAGACAATAACCGGTGAAAAATTTGGCAAATTTATTGATAGAGGATTGCTTGTCAAAATTTTAACCTTCGCCTAATTGATTCAGCAAAAAAAAGTCATGTAAAGCGTATTCTTCAATTCTTACTAGATAATGGGTGGAATGAACTCAATCACACTAGAGTTCAACCACCTACTAGCTTAGGGCTTGAAGTAAGTAAGACCTCGAATGTTTAGAATATTTAGTACAAAAAAAAATAATAATCCGCTAAGAATATCTGTGGGTTCAGATATATTACAAAAATATGCGGATCTAGTTTTACAAAAACATTCTAGCTATCTTAGAGATTGGACTATCGAAGAAAAAAACTCACTAGGATGCCTACTCTGCAAACGTATACATGACAAGGATCAGTGATGGTTTGGCCATATATTCACTAGAAGTGGTGAATTCATCGTAAAATGATTTTGGCAAAATAGTGATGAGCATAGGGAAGTTTTTGAATGCGACCCATCTATTGCAGAAAAAATTCAGCAAGAAAATAAAAAATCTCTGCAATGTTTCCAAAGGAAATCCAAGGTTCTAGGCTTTCCTAAAGCCTTCGTAAATTTTTCATCTTGGGCCAAGTATAATGAGTCCCTTTCAGCAACAGAAATATATGAGCAGAGATATGTAAGACCATTACCTAATGAAGGTGATATCTATGTAGGATCGCCTTGGGAGACAGGAAAAACATATGTTCTAGAGCATATTACTATATCTGATGATGTGAATTTGCTAGTATTATCCACGCGTTACTCTTACTCAAATACTGTTACTACAAGACTCAATCTCAAATCATATTGTGATATCGATGGTAATATAAATCTACCTGATCATAAGAGGGTAGTATGCCAGATAGCAAGCTTACATCGGATTACTAATAATTGTAAATGTAATAAAAAATGCAAATGTCTTCCAATCCAATATGACTTGTGACTTGATGAAATAGTGTCTATAATTGCTCAAGCACAAAGTCATCTGGCGGGTCAATCGATTGAGAAGTAATATAAATTGATCTAAGAGGCTAGGCGTATTATTGTAATAGATAATGATCTAACTAACCTCAACATTGAATGAATTAAGGCACTTCGTAAGTATATACCTCTCTCTATTATCCACAATACTTACCAGCCTCAGAAAGATAAGACATTTCGCCTAGCCTCTAATAAAGAAATAATATTAACCAAACTTTGGGACTGGGCCAAGCATACGTCTTCATTACCTTTTGAGAATAGAATAAATGTATCACTTATTTGCCATCTTAGAAAAGATGTGCAAGGAATTATTCGTGCCCTTAAGACTGATTTTCCAGAACTACGGATCAAGGAATACCACGGCAAGTCTGATCCGGTGAAAAAGGCTCATGACTTCAGAAACATAGAAGAATCATGGAAAGATGTAGACCTAGTTGCTTATACTAGCACTCTAAAAATAGGAGTATCTTGCATTAATTCCAAGTTCAAACAGACGTTCTGCATCTTTAACAGTTATATAGAAACGAATGCTGAAACGAATCAGATGTTATTCCGCATGCGGTATATCAAAGACTATATATGTTATATTGAACAAAGATCGTCTAATATTCCCATTATAGAGAAAGGATTATTCTAATAGTTATTAAATGCTAAACGAGAATGTCTTCCCTGAGAACTTCAGAATAGAGGAATATTTTCTGACATAGACTCTATCATTCGAAATAAGGATGTTTCAACTATTCGATTATGGGTAGCATATATGTTAGAAAAATTCAGTTCTAGGTGTTTATTTGGTTGGAGAATGGTTGATTTCCTCAAAGAGGTAGGCATGATAATTTCCATCATAGAATCTGACCCTAAATCCAATAAAAATACATTATTGCAAGTAGTAAAGGCAAAATGTTCTGTTGTTAAAACGGATAAAATATCAGATATAACTAATGCTAATATTCTCGATCGTGAGACTGCCGAATTTCTAGAGAACAAGTCAAGAAAGACTTTAGAAGAAATGTGCTCTTTAGACCAGCATCATATTGTGGATTGTTATGGCATTTCGCCTGAATCATTGACTGAGGATTTCATCTTGAAATATGGAAATTTCAATCATATGAAATAGTTTAGAGCTTATAGGCAATTATGAGATGCTGGCACTGATAATGAAACGGCTGTTGAGACTATTACCCGTAAAAATTACAGAGAGGATAGACTCACAACCGTGACCTGAGTTGAGAGACATAGTATCTACTTGGAATTGCTAAGAAATTGTACACCTGTTAAAAACATTGACGATAGAGTACAATATAAAGCTGATGATGTTAAAACGTGTATGAATTCTTCTGAATCGATATTGTATCTCCAGGATTTAGTCCTAAAATGACTTGAGTGTTTGATAATACTAATGCATCATGCAGAGCTAAAAAATCGGGATTAAAAATAATCTGAGCGAAACTTAGTTTATTAAATTCAACACTGTATATGACATATGGGTTGAAATTTAAAGCTATTAATAAGAAACTCACACATTATTACCTGGTTGGCTCATTTTATAGTGGGAATATTTCTAAGTTACCTTCATATCAGACGGGAGAAGAAGTATATTAGGATAATGTAGAAGATGTCTGATATGCTTATAGTAAACTTACTCCTGATGAATTATTACCAGAGAAAAATAGCAAAACATCTTTCATATTGTAATAAATTAAAAAGTTATCTTATAGATCACATGATTTTTACCTTATCACAAAATCCATCCAATCAGCTAAAATTAGCAGATCTTCAAAATCTATCCAATCAACCAAAACTGGCAGATCTGTG